GGGGGGGGGACTGAAGATGGTAATGAGGGAGAGTCACAAATAGCATTGTTTCAAATATTGGGGTTTTTCTGAGCTCATTTTGAGATCATGTTCCTTCTACTATTAAAGTGCAGTTCATTATTCTTAAAACGTTAAACGTTATTTTGTTCATCAGCACGCATACTGTTTTCAGCATTGTTCTATAATGTGATAATATTCAGTGCTAGTGATGATGATTGAGAAACGGCAGCATATTTAAAAGTATTAAAAAGCAGAGTCATTGGCCTGTGGGCTACTGATCTCATTGAATAGGTTCAGAACCTATTTACTTTAAGGGTTCACTATGGTGAGATTTGAAAATTAGTGGCTAACTGGAAGATTTCAAAATTCAGTGAAATATCTTGGATCTGGAATATTTGGAGAATAGAGAGAACAGGAAACAAAATATGTGTTTGGTAGTTAAGGAGAGAGTCAGATAGAATATTTTTTAAGATTTTAAGGCCATGTGAACTGCAGTATAGGGACTTCTGTGTGACTAGCGAGCACATTCAATACCAAAGGAAATTAAATCGACTTTGCAAATGACGATTCAAGCACAGATTGTACAAACTGACAACACCCTATTACTAAATACCCACCTTTAAATATGCATTCTGTTCTTTGTAGCTCAGAGGGAAAAAGGATCCATGCTTGTCAGAAATTGAATCTGTTTTCAATATTTATTTTTATTGGTATCTTTTCTTGGCCACCTATGGAGAGGTGGGCTTGTATTCCAACTACCATGGTGTGCCTGTTTGTTCAAGAAATTTCCTAGGAATGCATTTGTAGTTTCACGAAGGCTGTCCACCTTAACACGGGAAAAGCTTCCTTGGCTAGGGTCTCAAATTTTAACGAGCCCATTTTGGCATCTGTAGGGTTAAAGATCCTGTCAGAACCTATAGGTACTGGAAAAGGCAGTTTCTAAACTCAGTTGCTCAGGTCCATTTTATTTTTGTCCCCCAGCAAACAGGAAATGGAGCCTTTAAGCCTTTTTTTTTTTTCTTAACTGGAAAGTGCGTGGGGAGGGGGCACACTCACCCTGCCCACATCCAACCCTGAGCCTGACCCAGACTTGGGGGTCTCCGTGTGTTTTTTCTTCCCTCTCTCTTTTTTTCTACTATTTTGGCAGACTTTTTGGAATGTCTGGGAGCTAAGGGCTTTGCTTCATGGAGCAGAATTCTGAAGCAAGAAAAAGAGAAAGTTATAGACTAAACCACAGAAATGTAAACACGTCTGCAGCTAAAATAACTCCACTTTCATTGAAAACACTCCTCCCTCACAATCAGACTTCTGTGTGCTATGGTCAATAAAACTGCATGTTAATAGCGACCAATTAATAGATTATGTTGCTCGGCCTTAAAAGTTGAGGGAGTTTTAATTATTATTTTTCAAATTAAAGGAGTGCTTATTCCCTCCCTTCCCTTGGGGTGGAGTGGTGGGGGGGACTTAGCTTTCTTTCTGGCTGTTTGCTGAAATTCTTGGCTGTTAAAGTTTGGAGAGGGAGGGACATGGGTAGTTTTCACTTGGTCGGAATGGGGAGAGTGTGCAAGAGATCGCTCCGGGACGGGTTCCTAGAGATCGCTCTGGGGCGGTCGTGACAGCCCCCGAGGGACAGGAGTGAAGAGGAGCTGCGCTCAGGTAAGCCGGATGTCCACGTTGGGATTCGCATAGAAACGAAAACATCCGGACGGGGCTTAGCCCCGGCGGCCGGAGACGGAGAGCGGAGCCTGCCCGCTGCACCCTTTGGAGGCTGCTTCTCCCGGGCGCAGTTGTCTCCCGAGGGCGGCTGTCACCGCGCGCGTCGGTCGGGTCAGGCCGCGCTCCCCTCGGCATCCCCGCGTCCCTGCGGCCGCATCCGGCTCCTCCCACGACCGACCGCGGTCCCATCACAGCCCGCGGCGCTCGCACACCGCGCCTCTCCTTCCCAAAGCTCCGCGCGACGCCGTCCCAATTCCGACCGGCATCGAGGGCAGTCCGCGGGCATTTCATAAACGTCTAGTGTCGCAACCGTTTTCACTTTTACTATTTTCCATGTTTGTAACGGTTTTCACTGTGGCTGGAAAAATTTCACTCTAACAGAGACCCGGAGTTGTAGGAGCTAGCATCCCGCGGCTCCCCGCCCGCACCTCCCCCTACCCTCCTCTCCTCCCCACTGGTCCTCTCCGCGCTCCTCGCCCCTCCAGTGGTCGCGTCCCGGGTTCCTTTCCTGTGGGGCCGGACTCTCTCCTCCCGCCGTCCCAGCCTCGGCTCCTCTGCCTCCTCCTCTTCCTCCTCCTCCGCCTCCTCCTCTTCCTCCTCCTCCGCCTCCTCTTCCTCCCGGGAGCCTCCAGCAGCGTCCTAAACCCAAGCGGGCAGGGCGCGTAGTGTCCAAATACGCCCGCGCCGACCGCGCTCCCGGTCCCGAGGACACGCGTGCACCCCACCCCCACGCAAACACGGACACGCGCGCACTCGGACACTCCCGCGCGCTCGCACCCACGCGCACCTGGCCACGCGCGTGCACTCCCGCCCACGCGCCCCCGCCCCGCCCCCGGCGCGCACTCCTGGTTCGCAAGTCGCGCGTCGGGGCGGCTGCCCTGCTCGGCGATTGGCGGGAGCCGGAGCCTCCCGGAGCCGGGCGCCCGCACCATGGGCTGAGCCCGTCGGCGCCTAGGGAGTTAGTGCGACGCGGCTCGGCGCGCACGGCCAAGGCACGCGCGCGGGCATACACGTGCAGGAAACCCCTCCCCCGACGGCGGCGCCACCGTCTCGGTAAGTCTCGCGCCCCACGCGCCCTGCCCCGGCCCCGAGCTGGCGACGTCGGCTGCGGGGACGACGGCAGCGGGGTGGCCCGAGGGGCGCGCTCCGCAGGGCCCTTCTGACGGCGCCCGGACAGGTGGGGCATGCAACGCCAGGAGGGACGGCTCACCAGTGCGGGGTCCCCGGTAGGCGCCTGCAGTCGGGTGCGGATGGAGAGGAGGAGCACCCCGAAATTGACAAGGGCCAGGGGAGCACGCCGCGGGGACTTCATCTGGGGTCCTGGGCAAGAGGTTATTTGTCATTGTCTGGAATGGCAACCAAGGTTGAACTACAGCTCACGCTTGGCCTAAAGTGGGACCAGGTGTGAGGCTGAGCTATCACTGTCCGCTGGTCCCGGTTGTGGAATGACCCCCGACGGCACCCTCCGGCACGCGCGGCAACACCGGCGCTGGGAGCGGCTCTCAGCTCCAGGAGCGGTCCGTTTCTTATCCCACTCTGTCTTTTCACCTTCCCCTTCGTCAGCCTGCAGCGGTTGTGTTTATTTGCTTCCAGTTTACCACCGTAGTTGCAACACTTGGCATGTTAAAAAAAATGTAGCCTGTATTTTATCAGCTAGCCTTTCCTGCTTTCTGTCTGAAATACATCTTCCGTTTATTGCTATGATATGTTGCATAGATGCACAGAGGTATTAATTATCTTTTAAGTACAAGACAAATGCTGTTATTAACAACGGACTAAACTGCCCAGTAAAATAAACAGTTTCAATGACGATGTGGATTTAGTACAACTCTTCATCGATCTAAATATAATTTCTTTTATCCTTCAAAATAACATATTCCTATGTGCTACAGGTTTCACACTGTACATGTCTCCATAGCTTTTGTAGTTCGGAAAACTTTCAATGTGAATAAAAATACATTTTATTCGTTCCTGAATGACATCCATAGGGCACAGAGTTTGTTTACCTTTGGGACTATTTTTGACTGTTTTCCATTCTTTCCAAGTAGTTTAGAGCCCCTGAAGGGAGAACTGTCACAGTCTCACAGTTAACCCTTGCTCTGCCGGGCATCAGCCGGTGCCAGCTCCCAGGGCAGGGCAGAGCTCTTAGCCTTCAACCATAGGAGGATCAGGCAACAGACGTTGTAAAAAACCCAACCATGTAAATTAATTCACCGTGTGCCAAATTATTAATAAGCTAATTACACCATAGAAATTGTAATTCTAGCAGAATCAGGGTGAGCTATGCAAACTTGTGGCTAATATATCAAGTTTTACAAAGGAGCCACACATGTCACAAATGCTATTTGCCTTTTGGGAATCCTAGCTTCGGTTTGGGTCAATGGCTTTTGGAAATTACACCAAATTAGCAATAGGATAATCTATCTTGAGACATTTGTTAAGGAATATGTAATTCCAGTAGCGCTTATAATTTCAGTTTCTTCTCTTTTGTAACATTTTGTAATTACTTCATTCTATGTAAAAAATTTTAGAGTTGTAGTACATTATTTCACATTTATCTTTATTTCATGAGGGATTATTGGTGATTTAATCTGATGCGAATCCTTTAGCTAAAATTTAGAAAATTAGCATTTATCATTGAAGGGGTTGTGTAAGGCAGCTGCATGCACAGCTGCATATAAACATTCCCCCTCCACTTTCCACGTTTTGCTTTGATATTAAAGAAAAACCTTGTTGAATTTTTTAATCTTACAAAATCAGATATTTTATTTGTTGTAAGACCTAAGATCCCAATGGAATACTAGATACGTAAGTAAGAAGGAAAGCATCTCTGAAAGATGTCAAAAGGAGTTTGTAACTTACATACTATTCTACAATCTTAGATGTTACGTATATTTTAAATGTTTCTCATATTGTATATTTTAAATGTTTCTCATATTGTAAGAAGGTTAATAGGAAACTTTCAACACTTTTTTTTCTAAAGTTAATATTAGCTTTGATTGTTTTTCTTGCTATCTTTAAACAAAAAATAAAGGGGGGATTTCTTCTTCTCCAAACAGAAGAGCTAGTGTTTCTGAAGTCTTTCCTATTCCCAGGCAAAAACCGATTCCAAGTAAGCTCCAGTCATGGGCTCTGGAGTGGTGGGGAGACATTGTCATGGTGAATAAATGTCTATGTTGCCTGTTATTTCATAGAACTCCATTCAGAAGGTGTTGACACAGAGACACCTACATTTCTCTTTTTTTTTTTTTTTTTT